AAAAATAATCATTGGTTTGGCACTAGGGCCTTTTTGATTGCCCTAGTGTGAGGTTCAAATTCTCTCAAGAGCTGCAAAGGATCAGTCGAAACTGGAGTAATTTCAAGATTTAACAGTTTATAGAATCTCCTTCTAAGTTAGCTCTTGTTTTCACTGGCAGGAGGCTCACTGCTCTGGCTTGCTGATGGTGGCCTTTGCTCCTCTCCTCGTGGGCCACCTCCACAGGCTGCTTTAGGGCTCTTCTCATATGGCTTCTCCTGTCCCCAGAAAATCACCAGAGAGGAGTGGGAGGGCAGGATAAGGAGGAAGTCACCATGCCTTTCTGGAATTAGTCTTAGATAGAATCTTTGACTTTATATTATTTCTAGAATAGCCATTAAATCCAACACAGGTCCAGAAGAAGGGGAACTAAAGTCCACCTGGTAAAGGAGAGGAATATAAAAAGAATTTATGACAGTGTTCACCACCATACTCAGTGGAGAGTCTACAACCTGTTGAACAGAAAATTCTTTCTTTAAATGGATTCAGCAGCAATGGGAATTCATTTGTTCCCCTGCAGATAGGTTAACTTAGTTAACCTATCTGCAGGGGAGTAGTTTGTTAAGAGTTTGTTTGGTGAGTAGTTTGTTAAGAGTTCTAGCTCCAGGAGCTGGAGCGATAGTACAGCAGGTAGGGTATTTGGCTTGCATGAGGCCAACCTGGGTTCGATTCCCAGCATCCCCTATAGGCCCCTGAGCACTGACAGGAGTAATTCCTGAGTGCATGAGCCAGGAGTAACCCCTGTGCATTGCTGGCTGTGACCCTGAAAGCAAAAACAAGAATAAAAGGGGGAAAAAATGGGTTACAGCTCCATCTCTCTGTTCTTTTTGTGTTAAATCACCCTCAAACTGGTTTCAGGCTAGCAAAAATGGCTGCACCACTTGAGGCTTAATATAATGCCTACATATTGCATAATTTCTACTAAAAACTATAAGTCAGGCTTCTCTGTAGAACATTATAAGTATGGTTAGTAGAATAATTTGGAAAGAATGTACTACACTGTAATTGATAGGTGATTAATAATTTATGGTATATGCCTGCCAGTACTTTTGTGGGAGCAGCATCTTCCATAACAGGTGAGCGGACTTCTGGCTCAGTCCCCCTGCAGTGTATAGGCTCACTCTGGGACAGGCTTTAGGCTGTGTCTGCCCTTCTACCTGGAATCTAAACTAGTGGTTAGAAGACTTTAATGAATCCCAGTTTTTTACCCTGAACCAGGGATGTGAAAGTACTTTCCTGGAACCACATGGACCCCCAAACAAAAACTCAGGCTTCTGTGGGAAAAAAGAATGTATTTTGGAAAGGCAACCACAAATATCTACAGCAAAGATCAAGCAAGTTTATGCCAGCTTTATTAAAATGTGGGATAGATAGCATTTTTATAATCTCAAAAGAAGGGAAACAGTATTAATATATTTATATATTATATATTAATACATATTATACATAAATATATATGAACTATATATGAACTATTTCAAATAGTTCTGGGAAGCTTTTTATTTGTTTTTGCAAGATTAAATGCAAGGCTTCACACCTATGATGCAAGTGCTCTATGAGTGAATGACATCTCTGGCCTGACTAAATTCTGAAGATGGATCAAGGATAGAGTTTAGTGGTAGAGTACATGTTTCTGTATATATGAAGTCTTGAGCCCTGTCACTGTACCATCAACCAACAAACAAAAATGACCATCGAAGAAACAGATCAAAAGGCAGAGTCGATATTTTTAGTAAGAACTGGAAGGACCACCTTTTCCTCTGAAAACAGCAACAAGTAGAAACATGAAAGAAAAGATGGACATGGAGGTAAAGTGGAGGAAGAGAGGAAGAATGCTACTGTTGATTGAACACATACATGAAGGTGTAGTGTGATCAAAAAGGGTGATATCGCCAAAGGAAAATAAGGGAAAAACGTGAAGCAAAATATTTATGGAGTTAAACCAAAATAGATATAATGAGCTGTTTTGAAGGATGAAGTAAAAGTAAAGCCAGAAATACTCTGCAATAAGCAAAAAAAAAAAAAAAAAAAAAAAAGGCAGACAATCAGAGCTAGATCTGCAAAGCTCTGTTAGAAAAGAAAACATAAGTAAATAGTGCCATAACAGAAGATAATAACGTTGAAGACAAAGAGTACTCACAGGAGAAAGAAGATTAAGAAATCATGCAAGTTATTGGGAAAGTGCCTTTTTAAAAAAGTAACTATGATAAACATCATGATTAAAATACTCTAATCTACCTTTAAAAACTTAAGCCCATATAACATATGTAATTTATATGGTTTCTCTGCCCTGTCAGAAAATGCTTTAAAAAGTATTAGGGGTGGGCATGAGTAATTTTTAATTCCCATGACTGTTGTGAAAGTGTGGCTTAGAAATAAGGTAAAACAGCTACTTCTTTTTGTATTATAAACCATGTGGATTAGCAAAATGAAATGTTTTGTCCTCTTTAGCTTATGCTAAAAATTCCTCTCTAAGACAGTTTTCTTGATTTCTGGGAAGAGTATTTGCCCCCAAATAAAGAGGCTTTATGTTTATAGTCACACTCATCTGTTTCAGAGTTTTGTTAAGAAAAAAAAGCCATGAAATGAAAATAATAGAAATATTTGAAAAATCTGAACTTGGAGCACAAGGTCATGAAGAAAGGCAACGTTGGTTCAACTTGCCTTAGGACAGTGACCTTGAAAAAGGCCTTTGCTTTGAAAGTGGTTAATGGGTTCCAGAAAATGAAAGAGCTGTTAGAAGTATATTATGCATTTGTTGGGAAAAAGACACATTCTCTGAGGACATATTTAACTTCCACTTTTGCCTTTACTAGGTTGAAAGTGTCAAACAGACAAGGGCCATGTGGAATTGAGAAGGGTTTATTCATTTCCACTAGCAGATTTCTGCCCCTAGCTCTTCCCTAGGTACAAACATTACTTTCTATTGCAAAACTTTTGTTTTGCAAAACACTTAATAACTCCTTACTACCAAGCCCTTCAGCCCATAATGTAAGAGAAGAGCTGGCAAAGAAAATTGCTCACAGGACATCCATAATACCCATCATTTCTTATTTACTATGTAACAGGTACTATGGTTAGCATTTAACAAACATCCTTTAATTTATTACTGTGAATAATTCAAAAAGATCTGTAGTATCATCATTTTAGAGATAACAAAATAAGCAGGAAAAGGTCAAGTACTTGGCGCCTAATTCCAAGAACCACTACCGGCAGGGATATACATTGAAACATATGTTTAGTTCCAAAGTGCGCACTTTTGTTTGCACCACTTTGTCTAAATAAACTAAAAGAATCATTTAGTGTTTATAATTAAGAATCAATTGTTTAAAGAAATGTTTGAAGGAAATGGAAATAAAATACATTTAAAATGTTGATAACTAACACAGATACAGACTCTTTTTTTCAAAATCAAATGTTATTCATCAGACTCAGACTCATTCTGAAACACACCCAGACAAATGCATATAGGAACGGAGAGCAGAAATACTTTAAACTTAGAAGCAATCCCAACTTCAAATGATAGCTATGACTATGGAATGAAGGTATAAGCAGGTCAGGTCTTGAAGCCGAGGGCAGGTGAGACAAAAGACAAAGATTTGCTGAAAGGCAGTATAGTACTAAAATTCACTAGTTTCATTCAATAGAAATATCACATGAACCAATATCCCCCCAATACATATACTGTAAACAACAGAGATAATGTGAACATACATTTTGAAGACAGAGTTTTTATGTAGTCCCTGAAGAGTGAATCATTTTTACATCAGCAGATTTCATGAAAACAAGGGTTGCCCATATTTAGAAAAGTTCACAGCAGGTAGGAATAGTTCCAGACTCCTGCAAAGATATCGAGGTCAATCATCCCAATGTTTTTGCACCAAACTAGGTGAGCAGAGAACAACGTTGCTATTATGACTGGATTGGCTTGAGTTTATAAAATTAAAGTTAAAAGATTTTAAGGCAGTTCTGCATTTTGTCATGCACGTATACCCGATCAGTGGTTTTCAACAGTGTTCTCTCCACTCAGGCGCTGCTGGTGTGTGATGGGCGTTGGCATCCTGAAATGTACAGCTCTGTCTTCCACAACAAAAATGACCCAACCCTAAATGTCCAGGGTCGCTGGCTGGGAAGCTCTGAAATCGGAGAGGCTCATGCATGTGTGGCTTGAGTTTTATTCACTGCACCCCACACTTTTTGAGCATCCTTCCCCCTGCCCACCATCAGTTCTTTTCTCAGAGAGAGGTCATGAGAAGACCTAGAATGTGCAACAGAGACCGATTGTTTATTTATTTTTTTAGTGGAAAATGATACTCATTCTGTAGCTCAGGCATTAGGTGCCCGGGGTTGTTCACTGTTATCCAGCGGCTCTCCTGACAACAAGCGGGACCCTTGACGTTTGGGTTTCTGGCTGAGTTTTCTTCCCCCGAATGTGCCTCCGTGGTGGGAAAAACAACACACATTCTGGAATGAGGTGTTTTCATAACGTCATTTATTTAGTCTAGATGAGAAGTATTTTCATTTAATTGCAGAAAGGTTGCGTATTCCCAGAAGCCGAAAGCCTAAGCGTTAGAGAATATTCTCGAAGTGTTAGCAAACATTTTGTCTTCTGGGGAAGTTAAATCTCTTGGGTTTACGTTTAACCTTTATGAGGTTTCAGGAGAAGGGGGAACTCTTTGAGACCTTGGCTTGTTCTTTCCTGAGATCTCGCAAGGCGGCGGGGGCTTCTCCCCGACGGCACTGTGGGGTTGTCCTACTAAGGGAGGCAGAAGAGGTGCTGGGAGGTGGGAAGATGAGGGGCGAGGGGTGCGCCGGGGTGGGATTCCTGCCTTTTGTCTCCGGAGCCGGGCGGGCGGTATCCCGGGGTCCCGAGGCCCCAGCTCTAGGGAGCTGGCCCAGGAATCCGCCCTGCAAAGCGGGGGCGGGGCGCTGGGGGCGGGGGCGGGGCCCACCGAGGACACGCCCACAAGAAGCTACTTTAAAGGCGCCCCCAGGCTTGCGGCCGGGGACTGCGCGCGCTCGGGTTCCAGCCTCAGCATTGCAGCTCCGCCCGCGCCTGTGCTCCAGCCTTCGAATTGCGTGAGTAGCTGGTGTAGGGGCGTCTCTTCCTACGTCTGAGGCAGCGGGTGGGATTGCATGATCTCTCGGGGGTCTTCAGGAAGCCCCACCAGCACCCCCAGTCTCCTGGCAGCCCCATCCTGGTCCCCCATTCGGCCCGCAGTCTTCCTCCTCGCCCGGGTTTCCTCTCCCTCCACGACACACACAGACGCGCACACACACGCACACACGCACACACGCACACGCACACCTGCCGGCCTACCCCGAGTTGCCCCGGGCCCCGCCGGTCCTCGGACCCCGGCCCGGCGTGTCAGGTAAGTTAGTCTTGCAGGACCTTTTCCTTCGTTAGTTAGCACTGCAGAGATGGGCTGCAGGTTCGCGGCGCCGCGGATCACTCTGGGCAGCCGCGGGTCTCGGGGGGGGGCCCCCCTAGCGCAGCGGTCAGCACGGCGGTGCTGGGTGTGAGGCTGAGGGTCTCCGCTGCCCGCGCCGATGCAGAGTCGGCGGGGGCCGTCTGCACGCCCGCCCCGAGCCCCGGAGCCTTCCCCGGCTGCGTGGCAGAGCTTCTGGCATCCCCATTGTTCGGTGGTCCCTGCCCACCCAGCGCTGCGCTCTCAATGTTGGAGGAGCCGCCGTGCGACCGAAGGTCGAACGCCAGCCACTTTTTTTTTTTCCCTCCGCAGAACTTTCTCCATGCAGTTAGTGATCAACTAGAAAGCGAGAAGCGTGTGATTGTGAAATTCGGCAACAGGTTTTTGAAAAATCTCGTCCTGGGCGCTCAAGCTCCACGTAGGCAGCCCCTTCCCGGGAGCGGGGGCGGGGGGGGGGGAAAGGGTGGGGAAGGGGTGAAGTCAGGAGACACCCCACTGCTCCCGGCCGGGACCGTGTTTCCGTTACTCAAAACGTTCAACCTGTTTCCTTTGTAGTCTGTACACCAGGCACGTTTTCTTTCACTATATGAATTTTTGGTAAGACTGAAAAAAAAAACTACGCCCATAAAAGGAGCGTCTTAACTCTCTTTTAATGAAGTTTTAAAGCACTGTTTGTACAAAATTCAAAGTGGGGAACCAGAGTGGGCTCTAGTGTGACTCAGTTTTCAGGAAAAGGCCACGGATTCTAAAAGGATGACTCTGAATCTCAAAAGATTTGCAAAGTGCATATGAGTCTCTGATGGAATGTATGACATTCTCTCTGGGACTCTGACCTTACCCCAACCTCTATTGCTGGGTCCTTGCTCCCACCCGTTGATTTCCATGGACACTTTAGCTGCATTTCTGAAGGATCTTTCCATGTTGGCTTTTACTTCCTTTGCTCTTTCTAGAGTCCAGTTACAAACAGCTACAAGATCACGAGTTGGAGTTATGGAAACTAGCAATGCTTGCTTGGGTACCTAGATCACTACTTGGGTGGACCAGAGTTAGTATTAACTGCATAATAAAGGAGTAAGGTTGCCAGAGTGGAACAAAGATTGAAATTGCTTCAAGCAATAGTTATGTCCATATTGAAAGATTTGATTGAAAGTTTTCTTCATAAGAAATTTTTATGCCGATCATTGTATAACTGAAACCCAAGCACAAAAACGTGTAGTGTCCACAGGTGTACCTCATGGTGTTTCACTAATAAAAATTAAAAAATAAAATTAAAAAAAGAAAAATTTTTATGCTAACTTTCAAAAATCTTAACTTTTCCTCCCAGTAGTGTTCACATGCTCTACCCTGTCCTGCCTCATATATTGTTTTTATAGGGTTCTTCCAAGTGTATTCAACACATTTTGATTGATATTGGTATACACTAGTATTGGAAGTTTGCCCCATGACATTGGCGAGTCACTTGGATTTGGGAAAATTCTATTTTATCATGAAATACTTAAGAATGGCTTGGGGAAGAGGGATTTAGGAGTAAACGAAGAGCTTTAGAAGCTTGGATCCAACCTTAGTATGGCCACTTAATGATTATTGAGATCTAATTTTCCTTCAGTCCGAAGTGAGACGAATCTGGGCTGGGAGAGAGTGTACAGGGATTTAGGAACTTGCCTAACATGCTGCTAATCCCAACTTGGTCCCTGAGTACCTTCAGGAGTGACTCCTCAGCACAGAGCCAGGAGTTGCCCCTGAGCACCACTAGGTGTGGCCCAAATCTAGGACATTTAAAAAAAAAAAGGTAACTCAGAAGAACTGGAGAGAGCAAGCCCCTTGTGTTTAGTGTGTTCAGAGAAGTCTGGTCAGGGTGAGGAAGCCGAACTAATGCTAGCTGGATCCAAATTCACCTCCCAGCTCTAGCTCCCACTGGGTTGATGACCCTAATCTCTGCCTTCATCTTGTGAAATGGGTGTAATAGCCCGTATCTCCTTGGGCTATTGTGAGACATGTTGATCCTTGTCCCAAGCTCAGCCAAGCCTGGGAGAGGTTCCTTGTAATTAGACACCTCTGCGCTTTGTTAATACTTGAGCAGTTGACTCAAAGTGAGAGTCTTCCTGGAGAGCACTCAGGTGGAAGTCACCAGAACCTTCTAGGGTTTGTTTGGAAGCCAGCTTTCTTCCCCTTGCAGATAGTCACAGGCTTCCTCAGGCATGCTGTCATTTTTTGAGCTGGTATATTTGTGTGGCATCCTTTGGGTATCCTCAGACGTGATACCTTGTTTTTGTGTGTAGACCTTCTGGCAGTTCAGAAAACAAGGTGTTTTCATAATTTATGAAAATGAAAAATAGTTCTAAGTTCAGAAAACAGAAGTCCATAGTGTCATGTTTACCTGTTCTCAGAATTTCACAGAATCTGGACTTGGAGTTAGGAACCTTCATCTAGGGGAATTTTCTCAAACTAGATTTTGGAGAAGCTAGAAACAAGTTGTGATTATTAGAAAATTTAAGTTTTGCCTTAAATCATAAAGGAAGACATGGTTTGCTTTATAGCATATAAGGATTCATGCTTTCTTTTATTTACCATGTCACTGTGCCAACAGTGCTTATTGTTCCTGAATAAGAGACCAGATGCTATATAATGTACAATAGTTCCAAATAACTTCCCAGTTCAAGAAAGGATGCATTTCAGGATGGCTTCCTGGTACTTTCAAAAGAGAAAGTTGGAGCCTTAAATTCCCATCTGGCACACAACAGATAGGAAACACCCGATTTCAAAAAGGATCTATGCCAGAGTCATAGAAGTCGGTATTTTTTTTATATTGCTAACAGTGACTTGATTTTAAAAATGATTTACCACTAATTCACACTATTATGGAATTTTAGGGGATTATCTGTGTGAGGGTAATTTTATGGGTATTCCTCACCAAAATGCCATTGCTATCCCATAGTCCATATACAATTTATTCAGAATATATTAGTAAAACTGATGTCTTTTACTTCCTTAACATATTTCATTCAGGATCTATCCATTTTGTCCCCAAAGACAGTTCATCTTTCAAAGTGGGGTGCAGAGAAGGGAGGGCTCCTAAATTGAGCTCAGAGAGAGGGCTGGGCGGGGCACTCCTGGTAACCCCTGACCCTTGTGCTGTCTTCTCAGCCCAATTTCATTTTTTCTCTTTTTCAATGGCAGAGGAATGCACCAAAGCTTCCTTAGCCAGTCTTCTCTTGAGGGCATTTAAGTTGATTCTATGATAACGAGCAGTGGTTGTTTTAGTGAAACATCAAACTTAGTATGTTGTACTTCAACACATAATTGTCACACCCTGATTTTTTGTTCCAAAAATAGGTTTATAACCTTTAAAAGAGCTTCACATAATGGTTGCACTGTTTTGTTAAAAAAAAGAAAAAAAGCATGAAATCTGTGATCATTACACTGTGAAATTTGGTAGTTTGAATTTTGTTGTTTTCAAGTTGAATCAACACTGTTGTTTTGATTTCACAGCTTCACAGTTAATGGGGATAAGGATGATGCCTATCTTCATTGTTATAAGGATGAGATAAAGTTAATATAAGTGAACTACTCAACATAAGTAAAGCATAGAATAAGGGTTTTATTTTTTTGCTTTTTTTTTTTTACTTTTTGGATCACACCCGGCAATGCACAGGGGTTACTCCTGTCTCATGCACTCAGGAATTACTCCCGGCGGTTCTCAGGGGACCATATGGGATGCTGGGAACTGAACCCAGGTCGGCTGCATGCAAGGCAGTCATCCTACCCACTGTGCTATTTCTCCAGCCCCCTAGCATAGAATAAGTTTCAATTTTTACTTCTATAATGTGGCAGACCACATTCTAAGTGCTTTACTCACATTGTTTAATATGATATAAACAAGCATTATCTCCATTTTTTGTTTGATTTTTGGGCCACACCTGACTATACTCAGGGTTTACTCCTGGCGGGGTTCAGGAAATTATATATAGTACTCGGAATTGAACCCAGGAGTAAACCTGAGTAAGTAGCATAAAAGGCAAGTTCCTTACCCACAGTACTTTTTCTGACCCCATTATTTCCATTTTTTATAATGAGAAAACTAGCAGATCAAATAACCAACCAAAGACCATTTGCCACATAAATAGTAGTCTTGGCATATAAACCTGTGACTATGTAAAAATCATCCAAGTATTAGACTGCTTTAATTAATAATTATCTGGTAGTTCACACAGGTTGTGGGTTATGATGGCAGCTATTGTGGGTCAGAGTGACAGAGTTTATAGCATAGTTGCATTCTAATTACAAAGGCGATTTGGCTGGTAGTATCCAATTCTGTATCAAGAAATTTGTTATATCCAACTTGGAGACATTAAGCGGTAACAGGATGTATAATTGGTAGTCTAAGCTGAACTCAGGAGCACTCACTACCTAGAAGGGAGGTTTTTCTTTATAGCAAAGTTGGATTAAGGTTAGCAGAGAGGTGTGGTAGAGTTTTTGGTTGAAAGTAGCAGCTTGGGGGTGGGAGCAAAAGTACAGTGGGTAGGTGTTTGCCTTGCATGAGGCCAATCAATTCTTGTCCAATACCGAGCACCCTACATGATCCCCCAAACCCTGTTAGAAGTGATCCTTGAGCATAGAGCCAGGATAAGTCCTGAGCACTACTGGGTGTGG